TATACTATGGATATTTACTATATATTATGTACATACTGTGATACATTTTTTTTTACTTAGCTCACGCAAAATAAATAAAATAATATAAGTAAAATAAAATAAATAAACTTCACCCCATAAGTTGACGAAAATTACCCAACGTGGGATAAGCTCTATTTCTTAACAAATTGACAATTATATGTAGAGTATTCCAGTTTATTTATACAAAATTAACTGCAGGTCTAGAATAAGAAATGAAGTGAATGTAAGAAGCTCTTTGCTCAAACTAAAAGTAAATTTAGAGTTATGATAAATTGTGAAGTCCTCAAAAATTGTTCTATGCTGTTTTGTGTTTTTAGTGAATTTCTTATACAGTATAGGGAATAAGCTATTACCGTAGGTCTCATGGTAAGACCTAGACCCTGGACCTAATTTTTCGTTTTGAGGTCCCCAAAGGCCAAAACACCACCAATTTGATGTGAAAACCCTTGTAACATACGAGTACAAAACTTCTTAACTTTTATGCCATAAATAATAAGTTGTAATTCCAAAGGTAAATGACTTTCGTTCTATGTATGCGTGTTCAATAACTCAGAACAGATTCAAGTAACCAAAATATTCGCATCGATGTAAAAATGTTTACCAAACGTAACTCCCTAAACGAGCACATTTTGATTTGTACCAAAAGACATTCTTTGACGTTTAAATTGTAACACGTTCATTCTCTTGTGGCTGGCAATTTGTACAAACAGTTTTCCTCGTTTACATTTTCACAAAAAGTAATGAATATTGTGTAAGGAGTTTTTTGTGGAAGTTCCTCAGTAAATATATAGTGTTTAAATTGATTTTAAATGAGTAAGTTGTGGTTAGGTTAATTGTTCATTTGATTCGTTATATATTTAATTTGTTTATTATTTTCACTGTGGATGCGATACTCCCTGGTGTGGATTAACGTCCGCACTAGTGAGTACTACGACTATCCGCAGTACTATCCTAATAATTAGACCAATTCAAAATTACAAGGCAAAAATGCGTTTAGGATTCCACTATAAACTGTAAGTTGCTATTATGGGCTATTAATTAACAGCTGTGTCTAAGGCATATGTCGGCCTTAGTCACTAACAAGACTACAAGATCGCACCACTCATCCTACTCTCATCTCCATCCATATTTGGCTTAAAACACCTACATTCATATGGTCACCATTTCAAAGTAAACTAATTAAGTGTAAAGTATAATATAACGTTGGTATTAGTATACTGAAACTATAATATAACGATAATCGTAACATTATTTGTACACTCAATAATGTGAAAACCTCTGATAAATTTACACACATCATCATTATACGGATTTATATTTACCATAGCCTAGTAATGTGATAGGTTGTAGCTTCAACGAACTAGTTAAGCAACACTTTAATTATCCTTGATATTGGATTGAACCTGTATTACAGTTCTAATCGGCCGAACACGATGATATATTGGTAATGCAAGTATAATTAGGTAACTGCCCGCATGCTCTGCAAACATACCCCCCCTCCACCAACATGACAGGGAAATTACAGATTGAAACATATATTGTGTTATATTGCAGATTTGTACTTGTGGATCAGATGAAGAAAATTTTATGCATATTTAGTCTAGGTTTACCGGGGATGTTTTGTTTCCTGATTGTTTTTTCTTGTTTTAAAAGCTTAAACATTATTTTATCTCAGTATTATTTAATTGTACACTATTACTTCTAATTTGTTATTACCAAAAGTAAAAGAAAATGTTTTAAACCTACCCCACTACCACAAAGGAAAATTAACACATATCAACATACTAAATGTTAGCCAAATATGAAAAACGGATTAAAAATGTTTAAAATGTTACAAAAGGTTTTAAAATAATAATTCCAGAATCCAGAAAGTTAATTGGCAAAAAAATGCTAAAATCATCTTGTCAGAAACGTTTTGGACGACACGATGCAATTTTTAGAGCAAATAATTCAAAAGAAAGAACATGCTACTATTGCCATAGCTTTAAATTTCGTTCCATACAACACCTTATTACCGTTTGACTGAAAATATCATTTTTTTTTACATAATCTCTTTTCACGTACAGATTATGTGTATAATTTCCTAGTAGCCCACTCAAATTATTCATATTGTCATTCAATGTTTGATTCAATTCACTTAAAACAAACGTATGGTTAGGAGGATTTGATATTTTGGAAATCAACCTTTTATTTATAGATGTTTAAATAATGAAAAGGTCAAAGTGTAGAATTGGCAGCCTTATCTAATTGAAAGAGTGCATATATTTCCTTTAGAGGTTTTGAAAGTAAAAATTGTATATTCAGGGAACCACACACTCATTAAAAACTAGAAGATTTATCTTTGAGTTAAGCTTGAAGTGGTTGAACATATTGTCTGTTTAAGTGGTTAGTTAAACACCCATAACCGTTGAGAAATACCTTGTGGTACGTAATTACCTGGTGAATTTATCGACCTAGACTGTCGTTACACGACACCTATCTTATACAATTTGTCATCCTCGCACATGGACGATATATTCTCACTTTAGGTAACACTTTCCTCTTAAGTAATATAATAACTTAGTGTATTAAACGTTGAATTCACCCTAGTAAAATATCGAGTCAGTGACCACGTGTTTTTGATCATGCGGCTAGTGGACAGTGTTGATTAAAATGTAACCTTCGTTTTTGTTTATCCACCTTTTTATGTCTGCATTTTCAAATTTGTTTGTTCTAAATATTTGATTTTTCCAATTATTTTTCCACCAGTTTTTGTAGTAATCATCTAATGTTCTTTGTCATTTTGCAACTGAAGATAGACTGGTTATTCCGAATCCAAAATCGTTATATAACTTTTGTTTAACGAATTACGTAAAGGAAAATGTTTCCCCTAAAAAACCTTGAAGTTTGAATATTAAAAGTTTAATGTTCAATAAAAACGAATGCCACAAGGAGACCACGAAAAATTGTGTTAGTCACTTCTGTATTCAAATGTGACTTCGTAAACAGTTCGTAAATTCCCTTGGCTATTTTCATTCAAAATGTGCTATTATCAGAGAAAATGGTAACTAAACCAGATACACCTGTACCTATAACAGTTGAATTGTTAACTATAAGGAAGTTGTGCTGTGAATAAATTAAATATTTTAAATTTATTCCATGAGCTGTTGAATGATATTCAAAAGAAATACATAAATAATTTTGGTCTGTGAAATAATCTATTTGTTTATTTTTCACACAAATTGTATTCATCTGGATACATAAATTATACCTCATAAAATAATATTGGGTCTGAGAGAAAGTAAAGGAATGCATGCATAAAAGATTTACGGGTTTGGGAAGATAAAAGAGGGCTGTTTTATTTACTTTAGATAACGTCAGAAACATAAAGTAGAATGTAAACTTTCCCTCTAACTCGATGTAAACAACAATACAAAAGAATCGCATTTAAATAATTGGTTTGATAAGGAAAAGCAATTTTTTTAACTTGCATAACACGTGTCTTGTAGGTTAAGCGCAAAGTAAATTTTAGGTTATGTTTCAACAACACATGGCAATGTGTGAGGTTATCTATGTACTACTACTACCACCACCATTGACTATAAATACTGTGTTGGTTTAATCATGAATGGTTACATTTTGTGTTTTTAAATTTCCTTTTATTAGTTTCTAAAATTAAATTAGTTGTTATGTAATTGTTAATTTACGACTTCTTCTGAACTATTATATTACTTTAACAGTTAGAGTAGTTAAAGGCTTACGAGTGCCTTTGTATTTATATTTACATAGTGTTTAAACATTGCTAAAGTAGATAAGCAGTGTTTCACCATCTTCAAAACAATGTGTGTTTTGTTGTTGACATATTTTGTATATTACTAAACTAACTCATGGCACAAATTCCAACACAATAAAAGCAACTATAATGTTATCTACTGATACTTCATAATCTCACCAATCTTTGGACATAACTCATAGGGTATTCTTTAAGGCATTTCCTTGCACTTAAACCTTTTAGTACATGAAGGTAACTGTTTTGGTATTTACTTGTCCTGACAATCTTTAATCTTATCAGTAACTTGTAACTGTTACGATCCACATGGCCCGTTACTATATAATCTTATCAGTACCCAGTACTTAGTAACTGTTATATCTATTCTGATAATCCTTAATATTATCAGTGACTGATAACTGATAATTGACGTGGTTTGATACCGTATAATCTTATCAGTACCTAGGACTTAGTAAGTGTTATGATATCTACATAGACAGGTAATCTTATCAGTACATGAATGTGACTACTATTATATCCACATGGCTTTAAACTTTGTAATCTTATCAGTGCATAAAGGAGTGTCGTGACATCTACATGTTCTTATTATTTACAATCTTATCGGTACCTAAAAGTAACTGTTATGACGACATGTGCTGATACTTATAATCTGACCAGCCTTTGAAGACAATTGCTATGACATCTAAATGTACTAATTAATTTAATTGATAATCAAATGAACACTATAAGGAAAGAGTGATGAAATTTACATCTTGTGTGTAATTCTTGTCAGTACCTGATGACAACCATATTAGTATATGACACTTTATAATAGTATCACTACAATATCAAACTGTTACGATCTACATGTCTTAATATTTTGTAGCTGTACCTGAAGTGTCATCTACATGTTATAATACCTTATAAAGGATTTGAAGATAACTATTCTGATACCTACACGTTCTGACGCTTTATAATCTCATCAGTGTCCGAAAAAGCTGTTATATATGACATAACTGTGAACTGTGTGTGTGTGACATAGCTGAAAAGATGTCTACATGTCATAATGCTTGAAATCTTTTAGTACCTGTATGTGATGTCTTAAAATCTGATCAGTAACCGAAGGTAATGCCTAAAACCTTATCAGTACCTGATAATCATTTCAACAAATCTTATCAGTTGATGTCTAAAAATCTTAGTACCTGAAGGTTATGTCTAAAATTCTCAGTACCTGAAGGTGAGCGTGGTCAGAGGCCGGTAACTCTTGTGGCTCCTCGGATCTGCGAGTGGTGTTCCCCAGAAGTCATCGCCGAGCAGGGACAGCAGCGGTTGTGTCCCGAGCACGTCTGGGTTCCGAACCACGGCGACCACGTCGTCGTGAACGAACTCGCCGTAGAGAGCGTTGGCGTAGCACGCGGCCGCCACTCCGGCCACCACGAGATACCTGGCCATCACTGACGCGTCGCCAGGCTGCACTGCCCTTATACCGGCGTTGCGACGCTTCCTCCCCCTGAAACATCCCCCTCCACCCCCATCCACCCCCCAACCCTCAACCTTGACTCACAGACACACTTTGTAACTCCGGACATCCAACTTTCTCGGTGATTTCTTCCTCGTTAGAGCGAATGTAGGTTAATCTTCGTGTTTGATTTATTCGGTTGGTTGTTGTTTGTGGAATTTTTATACTCGTTGAAGTTTTCATATTGGGAAATTTGTTGGTGTAGTGATTTGATATGTGTTTATACAGACGGAACAGTTAAACACGAAGATGTATCGCATTTATAATAACAGCAAACTTAGCAGTTGAAATACATTTTATCGTGCAACCTTAATTTACCTATTCGCCATAAAAAGGATTTTTTTAAATAACAAGTAAATAAGGGATATGTTTGTTCATTTTTCTAAAACTGTTTTTAAGTGTATCGATAGATAACCGCTTCACATTTTCCTCCCAACATACAGGCCTAATAGATTATTCGTTTTCGTTGTAGTAAAAGTGAACATAACAATTTAATGTAAGTCCTACATTGTTGGCATTTTAGTCAGCTGATTCGAAATTACTAAACATGGTACTCCTTTCGCTTTCAATGCAAAGTGAAGATTATGAAATAAATCTGTCAGTCCATGCAAGTTTTACCTTCTCAAGATGTCGAACATTGGTTATTGGAATAAATTTTTGTAATTCTTCGATAACTTCACTGCTAATATATATCCTTGATTCATTACCATCTCTATTTGGATGTACCATATTGAAATTATATTATAAATTTTATATAATTTTCCAATCATTTATTTTATTGTAACGTGAGAAATTTACTGGGGGAAATGCGCAGCTCTGCTGTTCGATGATATATTTTTTCTAACGTTTCCTCAACTTGATTCAAACAACTTTCATGTTTTATAGCATTCTGTGCTGAACAACCAAGAACATTCCCTGAAGTATCTCCAGCCAGAAGAACAGTCAGCGTGGTGTTGTCTCGAAGCCTCATCTCGACTGAAAAGTGAAACTCTGGACTTTCCAAACTTGCATTACAAAACTGGGACCGTGGCGTCGTCCTGTAATCCAGCTACTTGGAATTCACGAATGTAGGATATTTATAGAGATGAAAATGTGTATAGAAGCTCAATTAGCTCAACTCAAGAAAGGGAAGTAAACAAGAAAGATGGCGGAGCAGTTCCAGATCAAGACATCAAAGGTGTTGCTCCTATAGAGAGAGGAGCAATGTTTTATCCCATTATTATCCACAATTGTGGTTATTTATAGGCATGCACTGTGGATGCGATACTTCCTGGTGTGGATTAACGTCCGTAGTAGTGAGTACTACGATTATCCGCAGAACTATCCTGATGATTAGATCAATTCGTAAATTAAAAGGAAAAATATGGTTCGGATTCCACTATAAGCTGTAGAACCCTTAGTTGCCATTGGCTGTACAGATGTGTCTAAGGAATATGTTGGCCTTAGTCACTAACAAGACTACAAGATCGTGCCAGTAATCCTACACTCATCTCCATTCACATTTGGCTTAAAACACCTACTTTGTATGGTTGCCACTTCAGGTAAAGTATTAAAGTACTGTGAATCAGCTAGAGCTCTGATGACGCTTCTTTCTCATCTACAATCGTAGTCACGTTGTTTGCCCAGAATCACAGTACTAGGATGAGTGGCGCAATCTTGTAGTCCTGTTACTGACTAAGCTAGGTTTGTCTAAGGATGTTCCTTGGACAAAACTGTTAATTAATAGTCCATACAGCCAATGGCAACTAAGGGACCTACAGATTATAGTGGTGTCTTGATCTGGAACTGCTCCGCCATCTTCCTTGTCTACTCCCCTTTCTTGAGTTGAGCTAATTGAGCTTCCATACACATTGTCAACTCTATAAATATCCACAATTCGTGAATTCCAAGTAGCTGGATTACAGGATGACGCCACGGTCCCAGTTTTGTAATGCAAGTTTGGAAAGTCCAGAGTTTCACTTTTCATTTAAGATGAGGCTTCGAGACAACACCCCGCTGACTGTTCTTCTGGCTGGAGATACATCAGGAAATGTTCTTGGTTGTTCAGCACAGAATGCTATAAAACATGAAAGTTGTTTGAATCAAGTTGAGGAAACGTTAGAAAAAATATCTCATCGAACAGCAGAGTTGCGCATATTCCACAGTAAATTTATCACGTTAAAATGCAATAAATGATTGGAAAATTATATCAAAATTATGATAAAATCTGTATATGGTACATCCAAATAGAGATGGTAATGAATCAAGGATATTTATTAGCAGTGAAGTTATAGAAGAATTAAAAAAAATTACTCCAGTAACCAATGTTCGAAATCTTGAGAGGGTAAAACTTGCATGGACTGACAGATTTATTCCATAATCTTCACTTAGCATTGAAAGCGAAAGGAGCACTATGTTTTGTAATTTCGAATCAGCTGACTAAAATGCCAACAATGTAGGACTTACATTAAATTGTTATGTACTTTTTTACTACAACGAAAACGAATAATTGATTATGCCTGTATATTGGGTGGAAAATGTGAAGCGGGTATCCATAGAAACATTTTAAAACTGTTTTAGAAAAATGAACGAAAACACCCTTTTCTACAGGTTACTTAATTGAAAAATATGTGTTTTGGCAAATAGGTGAAATAAGGTTGCATGATAATAATTATTTCACAATTATTTCATTTTTTTTGTGTTATTATAAATAAAGTGCAATCCCTCTCCATATTTCACCTCTTACTTTGAGTGTACATCATTCACGTGTAAATGAAAGCTATTGAGGCCAAAGAGAAACCTTTCAGTTGTCAACAACATATTTCTTACTTTAAGATTTTCATGAAAATATAGGCCTAGGTCTGTTCAAATTTATAGATTGATGTGTTGTGGAAATGAATAAAATTCTCATCGAACTTTTGTACATTATTTGAAATTTTTAAAATTTTTGCTTTAGCTCATGGGTGCGTTTGTGACAAAACTATCATCAAAAATGATACAGTAAGTGAGAGTTATAACTGCTGCTTACATAAACAAAGTCGACTAAAATATTACCATTTTAATTATTTGAAATAGTAATTGTAGTAAGCAAACGAAAATGCTTGGCTTCTTCAGTGGAAAAGTGACAAGCTCAAATAATGCGGAGTGTTCCAACGTGGGAATACATGCAGAACAGCATTTAGATAAATTTAAGTTCTTAGATAGGTTCTGAAACTATGTTGATGGTTACTATTATTTTACTATTATTAAAATAATGGTTTGTAATTTTGAATAGTAAAATTTTAGACCCAACATCAATATGAATTTTAAAATGTTTATTGAAGGGCTGGATAGTGGATATGTTGTACAATCGTTTTGTTACTCAAAAGGAATTGTCATTATAAGTTTATGTTAAAAAGTATTTTTTTATTCTATAGAATTTGATTTTTGAATTTATTGAGTACGTGGAGAAATAAATCCTCAAGTAAGTGGTCTAAATAAAAAATTTTGAAAAGGGGTTTAATTTTGACGAACAAAACCAACCTACCAAATGGACTGGTAAAAAAAAACAGACCATTTTGAGATTTTCCTATTATAACAGCTGTAATGCATTTTGGGAAGAATTGGCTTCACATTGAAAATATTGAACACCATAGTGTACCCAAGCGAAGGAACACGTCATCAATTCATCAATAGAATACATGAAAAGAAATCTGGGGAACAAGAAATAACAATCAGAACTCACAAGTAATGGTGAAAGTGGATTGGACAAATAAGTGCTCAAATAAACTCGATCAACTATATCTAAAGTCATAGACTCTAGTGAGGAGATGGTGAGTTTTACTACAGATTTTTTGTTTTTAATTAGTTTCCTTGATCATTGGGCTTTAAATTGATGATCCTGGCTAATGAAACAGCTGATCTTAAGCAGTAACAAAGCTACACAGATCCTCACACACTCTACTCATCCTTTAATCATATTTGGGTTAAAATACGCACCTAGATGGCGACATTATCTTATTGATAATGATTTTAATAAGATTAATAATGGTAAATGAGGAGTTTTTACTATATGGTTCAAGTTCGAAGTTATGATTTCTCAGTAGAAACAATTGGTCAAATTATGATTTTTGAAATTTCTATCTCTCTTAAATTACATGTTAAAATGTGATTTTAAAACATCTTGGTATATTGATATTTGTTCTTTTGTTTTTCTTTTTTCTTGAACAAGTTTCAATTAAACTGAAAACTAGTAAAGTATCTTCATAAAACACAATAAGCGTAGCTGTGAAAATTTCATAATTTCAATATATATAGAACCAACTTCGCTTGCTCAAAAATGAAAAGTGTTTAGTTTTCATATAAAAAGTACACATTGAATATTTATTTTACAAATTTTCGGCAGAAGAATTACATAATTATTAAACACAGGATAGGTTCTGCAACGATCTGCTGATAGCTTTAGTTATGCGGGTTGACGTGTGGGTGCAGCACTGCCTGAAGCGATAAAGAAGATCATAAAACATTTTGAACAACAAGGTTAATCGGATTAACACCGTTATAAACGTATTTGTATTTAATTTTGCTATGTAATGTAGATTATAAACCAATGTTTACATATGTGTTGTTATTCATATGTGTTTATTAACATATGGTGTTAGAATATTATTTGTTTAGTTTTTGTTGGTAAACATTCTGGATCTTGATTTTATTGTAAAAACTACCTAATAAAGTATTTGTCTTATTGAACTATATTTTAATTTAACTTGCGATAACACTACATGGTGGCAGCGGGTTTTTTATTGTTTTAGCAATACAGTACATAAAGATGAAAGGTTTTAGTGTTCCTTCCCCAGAACATTTTGATTTTAAAGGAGAAAACTGGTCTAAATGGAAAACCCGTTTCTTGCGTTTTCATGCGGTATCTGGGCTCACCAATGAAGAAGAACCATATCAGGTAAACACCTTACTATAT